CAAAACCAGTGAGATGATCCCCGTGAGGGCGACACAGTGACCCTTCCCAGGCTGTGGGGGCAGGGATGTCTTGGGCCCTTGTTACCTTGGTGGCAGGTACAGCATTCGTTCGTTCATTCATTCATTCATTCATTCATTCATTCATACAAACTGTCACTGTCTACAGCCAGTTTGCAGATGCCGTCTTAGGCACAAGTGTGAACAAAGCAAAGCTTTGCCAATGAGGGGCTTATCTTCCAGGGAGGGGGACAGAAAATAACCCAACAAGTCAACACAAATGACACTGCATCTAGAAGAACTCCAGAGGAGCTGAGGGAGGAGAGGGGTACAGGAAGGATGTGCTGGCTTCCTGGGGCTCTGTGCCGTGGGCGCTAAAGCAGGCCTTCTGAGGAAGTGAGGAGATCCCAGGATGAGGACAGAGCTGGTTGCAGAGAAGGAGACCCTTCATGACTGAGGAAGTCAGCAAGAGCCGGGATGGGAGCGGCAGCCGGCAGAGGGATGGGCAGCTGGGCACTAGCGCCCTCTCGGAATGAGGAGGCAGGGTCCGCGGTGAGGACAGGAGAGGTCTGCTCTGCTGCACGGGGCGCCAAGGCTGGGGGTGGGGGGGAGAGCACGGAGCAGTAACGGGGAGCCCTAGATCCCCCTTCCACCTCTGGAAACTGCCCTGAGGGCAGTGAGGGAGAAAACCCACTGCGGGGGTAGCAGGGCTGCTGGAGGGCCAGGTGGGCGTGGATGTGAAAAAGGTCAAGGTCAACGGAACCATCAGAGAAGAGCCTGAGGAACCTCCTGGACCGTTCACTGCACCGCCTGGAGGGCGCAGACGCTGAGGGAAATCTAAGAAGGCCTCCATCGCTGTGGCCAGGCCTGTGGCCCCAGGTAGCACTGTCCACCCCACAAGCCGTCCTCCCCTCCTTCCCTGCAGGCAGGTGGAAGGGTCCCTCAGCCCAGTGATGTTGTGGGAAGCAGTCTGACCAAGACAAAGGTCTGAGCACGTTAGTTTGGGCCAAGGATGTGGCAAAGAAGCTGTGTGTCGAGTGCCAACACTGCTGGCTGTTTGGTGCCCTGAGTGAAGAAGCTATGTGTGGGCTCCGTGAGAGGAGAGTGCCATGATTGATTAGGAATGTCTGCCATGAGCAGGGGAAGAGCCAGTAGGGGCTTGAGTGTCACTTTTCCCAGCCCTGTCTTGATATTTGGCTTCAGGTTGAAACCCAAGGCCCAACAGACCAAGACCAAGAGCAGCTCATGAAGCTGGTTGTGGATGTGCGTGTGTGGGGTGGGCACTGGCCCTGTCATTGGAGCCAAACCTGTGGCTCCTCCAGGCCTCCTTGGATTGTGGCTGCTCTGGGAGAAAGTGGTCACTCAGACCTCCTGTAGGCAGAAAGGCGAGGACAGGGAAGAAAAGAGATGCTCAGGAAGCAGGCTCCCAGCTCCCCTGTCCCTCCGTCGGCCCCACCCGCCCCACGCGGCAGCGGGCAGGCCAACAGGAGCCAACGGGCTGCTGCCTCATCCGCCTCCGCGATCCCGGCCGAGCAGCTAACAAGTCACAACCTGTGCCAGGACGCAGCTCCCACCCCTATCGGTCACCTGGAGAA